TTATCTAATAAACGCCCCCTTCAAGATACGAAAATTTAATCAACGCCCAGGGCGTTCATTGGATCATTTACGGTACTTTGTGCCATGAGAGTTGATCATCATATTTATAATTTCATGTCCTGTAGATACTAAATATGCGCACAAAAGAAAATAAATAACATTGACTGAAACCTGATCATAAAACACCGGCCCTGAGTTCTAACCCTTCAATGATGGTTACGGTTCGGGGTTGTTTAATGCTCAGGCTTCAGTCAATGTTATTTATTTCCCTTTCATTTGCATATTTAGTATCTACACGACATGAAATTATAACCATCATCAATGACCTGCACTTGGGTTAACTCGCTGATCTCAAACCTAGCGCTGGATAGTGCATCCGCTATGCAGAAATGAAGACAATGTCGGCCATATTGATGTGAGCAACACAAATCTACTGTGGTGTTGATGACATAGTGTAAGAGGTTCTTACAGTTTCTAGTTATCGCTGAGAAAGGATAAACATTGTCTGAATAGAAATTTATCAACAGTCGTCTCTCGTCCCCTTAAATTTGCTCGTGAATAACTGATGTCACACCAAGATGGCTGCTACAAGTCTCATTATCTAGTGTTTAAAACGTTCTAAAACTCATTAGAAGAAATATGGAAAGCTATATTTTTTAAGTTACATAGGAAAAGACATTTGCTTCATAATGTAGCTAATTTAAACACGTCGTGATCCGATTTGCAGAGATTTTGACAGACTTTAAGATCTCATCTGATTATAAATATTCTGACTTCAAAATTGGTTTATTGAATACAAAAGGAAACTCTATTCAGTGTTTTGAGATCAGTGGGTTAACTTTACTGTGAAGCGTATTGTGTTTCCACTTTATATATAACTTGTATAATTTCTATGTAAATGTTGTATATATAAATTACTTTTCCTAGAATTAAACACAGATTTGCATCAATTTAATCATGTAAAAGTTTTAGATATAACCTATATAATCTCTGTGTAAATATTGAACATGTAGTTTCGTTGAAAAAAACCTAAGCGTGCTAATATACCTTTTGTTGAACAAAAACATTTTAATCTGAACATTGACATTAGTAAGAAGTAGAACATTGAATTGATTTGAAATAAGTATATATAAATGTATAGTCATAATAAAAGTTTTGGTTTTCATGGCGATCAATATGATTATTTTTATTTGGGAAAAACACCAGGTATATATATATATATATATATTATATATATATATATATATATATATATATATTGTCCACTGCAAAAAATCCGAAGCCCGAGTAAAACAATATGTACTTGCAAGTAAAATTGCTCAAGTTGAAGAGCAAATATAGGCATTTTTTTACTTTTTAGTGTGAAGTTTCAAAATGATTAATTTTTTGAATAAACATTTAGTTCAGTAAGTTTACTAAAAAATAGATGAAAAAAACAGGCGAACTTTATAGCGACAAACCGTGGCTGTTGACCGACCATGGAAGCGAAATTATAGTCCTTTTTCTTTGAAATTTGCAAAATGTACCAAAAACGAGACTAGTCAGGCCTTGTCTGATAAAATCTAACACAAACTTCGTTATTTTTATAATTTAATTTCTCGGAGAGAATACATGGTACAGGGTTCGTAGTCTCCAAGACCAAAAAATTTCAAAGACTTTCATAGATTTTTTTCTGCCTATTGTCAAAGACTTTTCAAAGACTTTTGCGAGCAATTAGTTGTCGAAATATTGCGATGTATAAGCACCATTTTTACCAGGTAATTATAGTCCCGTCAAATCACATCCTAAAATGCACTTTTTCGTCAAATTTTGCTTCAGTCAATCTATTTTATTAGTTAGAAAATCGTATAATCAAATAATCACTAAAGAATTTAAAGACTTTTAAAGACTTTCTTCGCTTTTTCATACACTTCAAAGACTTTTCAAAGACCTTTAAGATTTGCATTCAAATTTAAAGACTTTCAAGGATTTCAAAGACCGCTACGAACCCTGTGGTATAATATTTATACTTTGTACTGAAATCTGTCAGTCTTGAAGTATTCTATAAGGCAGCAGTCATTACCTTGCTTGAAATTAATTTCGGAAGAAAAAAAGATTGACAACTATTTTTCGAATCGCTCTCTGAGAAAATGAATCCTATAGCTACCTTCGTGCCAAACAATATATCTAGTATTCACAACTCAAAAATCTAAACTTAATATGGAAGTGGAGCACCAGAGGTTTCTTTAAGGGGGTGCTGGACACCACTGGGGGGTACTGGTGGACACCAATAGGAGGAGTACACACCCTCAGCCCCCCCCCCCTCCCCAGTAGATTCGCCTCTGTCTTCAACAATTCTCGTGTGCTAGTCATCGCTAACTATTCCGGTTATGCACTAGCAGATTGTCAGTGGGTTTCAGCGACATAAATACTTTAAAAAGTCTTGTGATTATCAGTTTACACAGAAATTGTATAGGAAAGCATTATAATTTTGCGGATAATAACAAAGATAGCTTATTTTCTCAACATAGCCGACAGCTTGCAAAATGTATAAAATTTAGACTCAAGATTTCCGTCTGCAAAACCCTTCAACGACCCTTCAAGTAGCGAGCACTTAAAATCTCAAGTTATTGCTGGAATTCAAACACATGGAAATTTAGCAAAGTATAACATTGAATTGATTTGAAATAAGTATATATAAATGTATAGTCATAATAAAAGTTTTGGTTTTCATGGCGATCAATATGATTATTTTTATTTGGGAAAAACACCAGGTATATATATATATATATATATTATATATATATATATATATATATATATATATTGTCCACTGCAAAAAATCCGAAGCCCGAGTAAAACAATATGTACTTGCAAGTAAAATTGCTCAAGTTGAAGAGCAAATATAGGCATTTTTTTACTTTTTAGTGTGAAGTTTCAAAATGATTAATTTTTTGAATAAACATTTAGTTCAGTAAGTTTACTAAAAAATAGATGAAAAAAACAGGCGAACTTTATAGCGACAAACCGTGGCTGTTGACCGACCATGGAAGCGAAATTATAGTCCTTTTTCTTTGAAATTTGCAAAATGTACCAAAAACGAGACTAGTCAGGCCTTGTCTGATAAAATCTAACACAAACTTCGTTATTTTTATAATTTAATTTCTCGGAGAGAATACATGGTACAGGGTTCGTAGTCTCCAAGACCAAAAAATTTCAAAGACTTTCATAGATTTTTTTCTGCCTATTGTCAAAGACTTTTCAAAGACTTTTGCGAGCAATTAGTTGTCGAAATATTGCGATGTATAAGCACCATTTTTACCAGGTAATTATAGTCCCGTCAAATCACATCCTAAAATGCACTTTTTCGTCAAATTTTGCTTCAGTCAATCTATTTTATTAGTTAGAAAATCGTATAATCAAATAATCACTAAAGAATTTAAAGACTTTTAAAGACTTTCTTCGCTTTTTCATACACTTCAAAGACTTTTCAAAGACCTTTAAGATTTGCATTCAAATTTAAAGACTTTCAAGGATTTCAAAGACCGCTACGAACCCTGTGGTATAATATTTATACTTTGTACTGAAATCTGTCAGTCTTGAAGTATTCTATAAGGCAGCAGTCATTACCTTGCTTGAAATTAATTTCGGAAGAAAAAAAGATTGACAACTATTTTTCGAATCGCTCTCTGAGAAAATGAATCCTATAGCTACCTTCGTGCCAAACAATATATCTAGTATTCACAACTCAAAAATCTAAACTTAATATGGAAGTGGAGCACCAGAGGTTTCTTTAAGGGGGTGCTGGACACCACTGGGGGGTACTGGTGGACACCAATAGGAGGAGTACACACCCTCAGCCCCCCCCCCTCCCCAGTAGATTCGCCTCTGTCTTCAACAATTCTCGTGTGCTAGTCATCGCTAACTATTCCGGTTATGCACTAGCAGATTGTCAGTGGGTTTCAGCGACATAAATACTTTAAAAAGTCTTGTGATTATCAGTTTACACAGAAATTGTATAGGAAAGCATTATAATTTTGCGGATAATAACAAAGATAGCTTATTTTCTCAACATAGCCGACAGCTTGCAAAATGTATAAAATTTAGACTCAAGATTTCCGTCTGCAAAACCCTTCAACGACCCTTCAAGTAGCGAGCACTTAAAATCTCAAGTTATTGCTGGAATTCAAACACATGGAAATTTAGCAAAGTATAAAGAGTTCTCAGAGAACGATGGATACAATTATATGCAACACATAAACAAAACCTCTTTCATCTTTCAATGAAAATTAACTTTGCTTGTCCGTGACAAATATAGTTAATATAGCCGCTAGATCTTTTGGAAATGATCTACAGATATCGTCGACATCAATTTATGACAGAATCAATTGAATTGAAAATGAACCAGTTCCTTCATTGTGAAGCCAAGTCGTTCTATTAATATCTCCGGATGCTATTAAGAATTTCAAACAAATGCAAATGTCTCAACATATATCAAATTATCACAGCACGGTGGTTAAGATGGTATCGCCATATTAAACAAGCCATTTATTTCCGTGTAAGGCCATTAAGAAACTGACGTTCCAATCACGAGATGTTTTGAACACAATTGATTTTGCCACAAATTAAGGTGTCGCCTCAAACACAAAGTACAGTTGACGTGTCTACATCAATTTGTTACAGAATTTTCAAAGATTACCCATCATTCACCATTCGTCAACTTTGGTAAGTCTAATTTCATCGTCCTTGTAATATTCAACTAGCTCATAACTAATCTCTATGCAAACGCTAGCTGTCAATCTTTGTAGGCTTGACACGGAGAGAGTTGAGAGTTTAAACTTATAAAGGATAAGAACTCATCACCAATCTCAGTGGGCTTGATAGCTCAACAGGTAGAGCAGTGGACTAAATTCCTGAAGGTTGAGAGTTTAAATCTCGTGTACTTATAAAGAATAAGAACTCATCATCAATCTCTGTAGACTTGACAGCTCAACAGGTAGAGCAATGGACTAGATTTCTGAAGATTGAGAGTTTAAATCTTGTGTACTTATAAAGGATAAGAGATCATCACCAATCTCTGTAGACTTGATAGCTCAACAGGTGGAGCAATGGACTAGATTCCTGAAGGTTGAGAGTTTAAATCTCGTGTACATATAAAGGATAAGAACTCACTAGGAATCTCTTGCCGTGATGAAAATGTACAGTATATATATGTTGGTTTGAAAGCTTCGTATCGGCTAATTTGACCAATTAAAATGCTTGATAAAGAATTGTGTGGAATTTCTGGAACGTATGTGAAATAAAAACATACAGTAATGATTCTTCGTATGTTTGTTATAATTTGAGATAGAACAGAATGTATGTATTTCTCTATCACAATATTCTAATGGCAAAATTCTATCCTAATTTTTTTGCAGATACATTTTTCAAGAAAATTTTCTGATTTCCATGATAACATAAGAATGTAATTTTGTTGGCGCTGACCACGGGAAAAGAGGTCTTTTCTGGACTGTGTATTTAGGTAACTATTTTTGTGTTCTAGATTAACCCTTTGAGCATCAGCACTCTCCCCTTGGCGAGTAAAATCACGTGTGCCGTTCACAGAATAAAATAATAAAGTATAGAGCGCGATCCAACTTAATTGGGTTAAATTATCTTTTTGTTTATGCGTTCATGGAAAATTAATGAGCAAGCACCTAACCATATTTCAAAGATAACATCAATCACTCATATTTTTAAAAGATAACACAGTAAAATACAGTGAATCGACTTCAACGAACTTAGTGCCAAGCCCGAAATCTACTTCTCCGACCAAAATGCGAGAAAAAAACCCGAATCTAAACATCGGAAAACACTGGCCAGTGCTACATCAGTTCTGACTTCCGTGATAGAATAAGTAATAACTATAATAAGCGTTATTTTGAATAACATCCGCTACCACTACACTTCCTCGATGAAAATATGGCGTGTCGCCATCTTGGGAAATGGCAATATATATTTTTTTATTTTCTCGTTTGAAAGAACATTTAAAACCATATATAAAACTCTTTTACCGTTTTTTTCCACATTTTGCTTACTTCTACAAATATTTTGATCGAAAGAAGAAAAATTTTCTCGTCATACTATGCCGAAATTGCACGTTTTGAACCAGATTTTTTAAAAGCATCAAAATTTCCAAACAAAATT